TCCTTCTGGTCCAACATCCGTAACTGTACAAGCACAGGCACGTCAGCACCAACCAGAGGTGGATCATGGCCCTGCAGTGGAATAAACAGCTATGTTTTTCACACATGGAGACTTGCCTAGTAGAGTTATATGTTCCTAACCAGGAATGGATCCTGTTACTTGGGTGAAAGAAAATAACAGAACATTTCAAAACACTGTACTATTGGGCGCCTCACAGAGTATGTTCACACCTATAGACATCCTAGTTCCATGAGGGAAAGCTGGCGGTACAAAGATCTATGAGTGCACACAGAACAGCAAGCCGGCAGTTTTATTACACAGATCTGTTATCAGTGTTGAATATAATCAGTCCACGAGACGCAGTCCCTCAGCATGGGACCCACAGGAGCATGACACTTAGATGCCTGAGATCCGGGTGAGGGCAGAAGAACATTCACCTGAAGTGCAGGTGGCTGGCTCCACCCATGGATCTGTGCCCGACCATGCTCCTGCCAGATGTGTGAGCGGATATCACGGTACAGCTCATGACGCTTCTGTTGCGGGGAAGAGTTGCCCCTGCAGATACACATAACAGACAGTAGTGGGCAGCAGAGAGACTCTGTCCAACACACTACATATGGCTCTACTGACCATGCAGGGGTCATTCAAGGACAAAATAAGATGGATAAAGCCTGGAAGGCCACAGGTCTTTATCCCTGATTCTAAAGTACAACAAGCAGGTTCTAAATAATTTCCAGGGCTCTACACTAAGAATCCAAGAGCTGAACAGGAGCAAATAGAAATTCTGCAAACAGTATATATTGTGCAGATTAGATGGGGGGAAATGCATATTTCTCTTATTCTGCATTAGTTTACTTTCAGACTTTCCCCCCATAATTTATTCTAGTCTTGCTAGTCATGAGAAGAAATGTAAGGTGCTGGAATTCCACCAATTGCCTCTACAGAAATCTGATTCAGCCACATTTTGGCCTTTCAGGACATCAGTCGGCATTGCCCAGATACTTTCAAATGTATCTTCAGAAACATAAGGACTTAAAACTTGCTTTTCCATGGACGTTCACATAAATGTAAATACAAACACGAGCAAAGATTCTCAGGAACATAAATGCTGCACCCAATACTTTATCCTGCACTTTTTCTGTGTGCCGGTAGAACTGCTCACATGCATTGTTCCAGAGAAGACTATCAGAACCATGAAGTCCATGTGAACCCCACCCTAGAAGGAGCCACAGAACTTACTCAGTGGGTGAGGTTGCTCGTGGGATGTATCTAAAAGCTGGAGACGCCTGCCCCCCATTCCGTCCCAAATCGCTACAGATGCTGGGGCTAGATCGGGCCCGCCCTGCCAGCTGCGGGGATGCAGGCGTCTTTTCCAGAGAGTCCGAGGGGCTAAACAAGCGATCAAAGCTGCAAGAGGAAAGCCGACGTGATTACTTAAAAGGGGGGAAAGGAGTGCCATCAAAAGTCACCTCTGAAAATAAAGCCAGATGCAATGCAAAGGGGAGCACCATTTCTACATCATGAGGATTAACAGTGAAAGAGCCTTCTGGCTGCTCATAGTCAAAGAGGAGATGGAAGAGGAGTCAAGTCGCAGCTGACATATGGTGACCTTGTAGGGTTTTCAAGGCA